TCGTCGTTGTCCTCGATGGTGAACGCATCATCGTCGATTGGGTGGTGGTCCTCCTCCTCCTCCTTTGGCGGACGGCGTCGAGGGAGGAGGCACAGAGCTGTCGTCGCCTCCTCCGAGTTGGCAGCCTCTGGAGGTGAAGCGGTGAGGGTTCTCGTCGTGGGCGGCGGTGGGAGGGAGCACGCTCTCGTTTGGGCCATGGCGCGAAGCTCTCAGTGCGCGAGAATCTTTTGTGCTCCCGGGAATGCCGGAATCGAGAGAGAACCGAAGACGAGTCTGGTGAGCAAGGAGGAGCTGGACTGCGACAAGCACGAGGACGTGGTCGAGTTCTGCAACGAGAATGGCGTTTCCCTCGTCGTCATTGGGCCTGAGGCGGAGCTTGTGGCCGGATTGGCGGATTCCCTGCGAGAGAACGGGATCAGGGCCTTCGGACCGTCGAGGAAAGCGGCCCAGCTGGAGGGCTCGAAGACGTTCATGAAGGACCTCTGCGACAAGTACGGCATCCCCACCGCGGGGTACGAGGTCTTCGTGGATCCGGAGAAGGCCAAGGCGTACCTCGGGAGGAAGGACGAGTTTCCAGTCGTCGTCAAGGCGGACGGGCTTGCGGCGGGCAAGGGCGTGGTGGTGGCGCAGACCATGGAGGAGGCCACCGAGGCGGTGGACTCCATGCTTCTTGGGAACAGATTCGGTTCGGCGGGAAGCTCGATCGTTATCGAGGACTTTCTCGCCGGAGAAGAGGCCTCGTTCTTCGTCATCGTGGACTCCAAGGGGAACACCCAGCCCCTCCACTCGGCGCAGGACCACAAGGCCGCCTACGACGGGGACAGGGGGCCGAACACGGGGGGCATGGGCGCGTACTCCCCCGCCCCTGTCCTCACCCCGGAGATGGAGGCCGAGGTGATGGAGTCCGTCATCGAGCCCCTCGTCCGGGGCCTCAGGGAGGAGGGCTGCCCCTTCCAGGGGGTCATCTTCGCTGGGCTGATGATCGACGACGAGGGGGCGGTCAAAGTCCTGGAGTTCAACGTCAGGTTCGGCGACCCGGAGTGCGAGGTCCTGATGCACAGGCTGCAGACGGACCTGCTGGACATCATCCTGTCGTCCTGCGACGGAACCCTGGACAAGTTCGACGACGACGGCGAGGGCATCCAGTGGAGAGACGACCCGGCCCTGGTTGTGATCATGGCCGCGGAGGGCTACCCCGGGGAGTACGACAAGGGGACCGTGATCAAGATGATCGAGGAGGAGGAAGGAGGAGGAGGGGCCAAGGTCTTCCACGCGGGCACCAAGGAGGGGGAGGAGGGGGAGACCCTTGCGGTCGGGGGGAGGGTCCTCGCCGTCACCGCTTCCGGATCCACCGTCAAGGAGGCCCAGAAGAAGGCCTACGAGGCCGTGGACAACAGGATCGACTGGCCCCAAGGGTTCTGCAGGAGGGACATCGGCTGGAGGGCCGTGCAGAGGGAGGAGAGAGATGAGTGAATAGGAAGGAGGAGAGGAGGGGGGGAGGGGGGAGGGTCTGTTACAACTGCGGACACAAGAAGAAGAGAGAGGAGTGAGAGAGAGAGAGAGAGAGAGAGAGGTGATGATGATGGTGGTGGTGGTGGTGATGAGAGAGAAGTGAGAGAGAGAGAGAGAGGTGATGATGGTGTGGATGATGGCGAGTATATAAAAGGGAATATGGCTATTCACAAGTGGCAATATTTTTTTTTTGGAGGGGGGAGGAGGGTCTGTTACAACTGCGGACACATCGTCGTCGGCTCTCTCTCCTTTATTTTTTGCTTTTACTTTTATTTTTTTTGGGGTGGAGGGGGATCGAGCATCCTCATCACTTTCCCTTGACCCAAGGGTGCTCCCAGATGTTTTCCATCGTGATCCTGTCGTGGGGCTGGGGCACCAGCATCTTCCTCAGGAGGTCCGCGCAGGGCCTGTCCTTGATCCGGTCGGGGAGGGGCCTGTACCTGCCGCTCAGGACGTTCCGCAGCGTGCTCGTGATGTCCCTGGGGTTGTTCGGGTCCTCGAACGGGTACACGCCCACCACCATGAGGTACAGCGTGGCCCCCATGGACCAGACATCGCTCGCGCTGGCGTTGTAGGGCTGCCCCTTGTCCTGCCCGAAGTCCCCCGTGAAGTTGACGAGCTCCGGCGCCATGTAGTCCGGTGTGCCGACCCCCAGCGTGTGCGCGCTCGTCAGGTGCTTCGACAGCCCCAGGTCGATGACCTTGAGAGTGTTTGAGCCCAGATCCACCATGCAGTTCTCCGGCTTGAGGTCCCGGTGGCACAAGTTGGACTCGTGGAGCTTGGCCACCCCGCTGACCAGCTGCACAAAGTAAGACCGCGCCACCCCCTCCTTGAGCCTCCCCCCGGCCCGGTTGATCACCTCCAGGAGGTCGCAGCCCCGCACGAGCTCCAGCACCAGCACCAGGCAGTCCCCTTCCAGCACCACGTTGTACAACCTGACCACGTTCTTGTGCACCACATCCTTGGCGTTCATGATCTCCCGCTTCAGCCTGTCCAGCGACCTCGGGTCCGCCGAACGAAGGTCGTGGGTCTTCAGGGCCACGGCCGTGGACTCCTTGAGGTCCACCGCCTCGTACACGATCGCCGACCCACCCCGGTTCACCTCCCGCAGCACCCTGTAACGCCCGGAAGCGAGCAAGGTCCCAGGAGGGAACCGCCGCTCGCGTCCAGGCGAAGGAGAAGAAGAAGAAGAAACAGGAGGAGGAGGAGTCGACATCGGAGGAGCCGAAGGTGATGCGATGCGTCTGACGCTCTGCTCTTCCGTCCCGTCCGTCCGTCCGTTACCAAAAAAACACGTAACGTAACGGCTGGAGGGGAACGACGACCGACGACGACCGACGGCGGTTTTTGTTTTGGTTGTTCGGAAGAAATGAGGGGGAGATGATGTGATGTGATGTGATGATCATGAGGAGGGAGGAGGAAGGAAGGATGGGGAGAGAGGGGCGGTCTCACAAAGTCTCACAATGGTTGGTTCCATCACGGGGAGCGTGTGGTTTTTAGAGTTCCGACTTGAGCTATGGTTTGCTTTTTCAGAACGAGTCCACGACTCGTCGTCGTCGTCGTCGTCCTCACGTGCCAGAATTTCGATTCTGCTCCACCCAGTCAATAATGTCCTTGTTCTCAGAAGTGCCGAGGATGTGCAGCATGAACAGGCAACCCCCTGGGTACCAAGGGCAAGGCGGGTCCTGGCTCCGCAGCCACTGGAGAACTTGAAGGTGGCCATACGAGGCCGCCCATTCGCAAGTCACCTCGGTCCAAGGGCAAGGCGGGTCCTGGCTTCGAGCCCACTTCAGAACATCAAGGTGACCTCCTGCAGCTGCACAAGAACAAGTATCCGAGTCCCAAGGACAAGGCGGGTCCTGCTTTCGAAGCCACTGGAGAACTTGAAGGTGACCTCCTTCAGCTGCAGAAGAACAAGTCCACTTGTCCCAATCACAAGGCGGGTCCTGATTTCGAAGCCACTGGAGAACTTGAAGGTGACCGAATCGAGCTGCAGCAGCACAAGCCTTCGCGTCCCAAGGGCAAGGCGGGTCCTGGCTTCGAAGCCACTGCAGAACGTCAAGGTAACCTCCTCCAGCTGCACGTTGGCAAGTGGATGCATCGAGCTCGCATCCCTCGCTCCTCAACCACTTGAGAGCGTCAAGGTGACCGCCGCTAGCAGCTCGATCCGCGCAATGCCAAAGTCCCTGATCCAAAGGTATCCCTCGGCTGATCAGCCATTTCATCGCCTTGATGCTTCCCTGGCGAGCAGCGAGGCCCATCAGGTCGGTGTCGTACAACACCTTGGAGTAAAAGAAGAGCTTGGCAGGTTCTTGTGGAGCCATTTGAGTCGGGCTCCTCTTGAACGAGAGAAACACCCATTGGTACCAACTCAGGCTGAAGCGAGGGTCTCCGAGGGTCTCCGTTCTCAGGGGAAGACCCTTCACCGCATCGAGGAAAGTCCGGCAGGTCAAGGCGAACGCGATCCTGTCGTGGGGGTGAAGATGGGTAGCGACCAGGAGCCATGCGCTTCCTGGGAGGACTTCGAAGGCATGCTTCGCCCTCTTGCTCTTGCGACGACGGGATGTCGAGGTGAGGCCAGGGAGAGGTGGTCCGAAACAACGATCATGGTGTTGTTGACCATGCTGCTCTCTCTCTCTCGCCCTCACCTTTCGCCCGATCCCCTGATCCATTCCCGTCGAGTGAAGGGGTCGTCGATGAGAAGCTCGGGATACGATCTGTCGATCGGTACGGAGCCTCAATCGGACGGACGCCCTCTCGAGGCGCTCGCGCTCGAGTGAAGGGGTCGTCGATGAGAAGCTCGGGATACGATCTGTCGATCGGTACGGAGCCTCAATCGGACGGACGCCCTCTCGAGGCGCTCGCGCTCGAGTGAAGGGGTCGTCGATGAGAAGCTCGGGATACGATCTGTCGATCGGTACGGAGCCTCAATCGGACGGACGCCCTCTCGAGGCGCTCGCGCTCGAGTGAAGGGGTCGTCGATGAGAAGCTCGGGATACGATCTGTCGATCGGTACGGAGCCTCAATCGGACGGACGCCCTCTCGAGGCGCTCGCGCTCGAATGAAGGGGTCGTCGATGAGAAGCTCGGGATACGATCTGTCGATCGGTACGGAGCCTCAATCGGACGGACGCCCTCTCGAGGCGCTCGCGCTCGAGTGAAGGGGTCGTCGATGAGAAGCTCGGGATACGATCTGTCGATCGGTACGGAGCCTCAATCGGACGGACGCCCTCTCGAGGCGCCGCTCGAATGAAGGGGTCGTCGATGAGAAGCTCGGGATACGATCTGTCGATCGGTACGGAGCCTCAATCGGACGGACGCCCTCTCGAGGCGCCGCTCTCGCGCTCGCGCTCGCGCTCTCCGGAGGTTGGAGAGCGTAGCGTTGTCCCCTGAAGAATATAGAGGACAAAATCGCACAAAATTTCATCCATTGGAACACGGCCCTCCCCACCCGGGCGTGGCATTTCTCCATGGAAAATCTACACGATAGTGGATGTAGTATAGTCGGTCAGTATCCCCGCCTGTCACGCGGGAGACCCGGGTTCGAATCCCGGCGTCCGCGGAAGCTCGAACTTCGCATCAACAAACTAACAAGTTGATCCGGCAAAAAATACAAACAAACAAACCCAGTCACATGGGCCCCGCGGCGAAACAACAGCCGCCTTACCTCTTGCTCCGTGAGACAAGGGTTCGGTGAGAGACGTTAATTATACAAGGGTCACAACGAGATCGTAACGGCGGAGGACGGCGAGGAGGACGACGGCGACTGACGTTAGTTATACAAGGATCACAACGAGATCGTAACGGCGGAGGACGGCGAGGTGTGTGACCTGGCGGGAGCTGGAGAGAGAAAGAGAGCCGCCGTAACGCCAGAGCCGCGAACGAGGCGGCCGACGAGTGGGGACGAGAAGACCACGACCAGAGAGAAAGCGATGAGTTACCTCCTGGAATACTTCGGCCACTGGTTGCCGACGAAGAAGAGGAGACTGACGAATACTGGGACGTCATGTGAAGAAGGGGCTGGTGGCGCCACCCCGGCCGCGGTTCTCCAGGTGGGTGGCGCCCAAGGATGGCGGGTGGCGCCCAAGGATTGTGGTGCCAATGTCTCTGTCTTCACCCACTTGCAGGGCAGCGGGCAGCCGTGCGGCGCGGTGGCACTCGGAACAAGCCTGGACACCAACGCTTGCACAGTGGCCCTGGCGATCTCCGCGGGACCTCATAGGGAGCGGGAGATGGCCGCCATCGAGGAGAACGTGGATCCGACGACGCTTCTCAATGCGGATGGACTTATTGCCTCTCTTCGCTTCGCAGACGACGAATTAGCTGGCGCGCGGCCCACCCTTGCACGCGAGGGTACACGGGCGGAGCGAACTCGCCAGCCTGAGGAGCTGACCCTGGTCCGCGTGGTCCGAGGCCGTGGCGGAGTCCACCTGGAGCGCGTTGAGGGCTTGAAAGAACTGACCCACTGCATCGTCTTCCTCCGCGAGTCCCTTGCGCAGGAGGGGCTTGGGAACAAGCTCGCTGGTCAGGCGGCCACGATCTCAAGCGCGTTGCTCGGCAAAGATCTTCCTAAACAGGTGAAAGCATTTCGTTTCGTGGAGCTTGGGACCGCCAGCCGCTCGCGATGCCTCAAGGACCGCAAAGTTCTTACGAAAGCTCTTGCCCTTGCGAAGGAGAAGGGCGAGCCTTGCGCGCTTCTTGTAGCTGCCTTGTCGCGATTGTCGAGACGGTCACAAGCTGACGAGGACCTCGACTACCTTGCTGAGCGCGCAGGGCAGGCCTCTATACTGGCGTGTATCCCGACGTCCCATGCAGCAGCTTTGATTGGGGAGGAAAAGAAAGAGGAGCTCAAAAAGTACATGAGCAAGGCTGCAAGCACCTCGGACGGGCACGCCGTGTACTCGGCGTCGCACTGCATGCTCAAGTCCGGCGCCACCCGTTGTTCTGTAGCATCGGGCCAACACACTTCTGAGGAACTTTGTCTCCTCGTCGAACACGTCGAGCACGTCCTGAGGCACAAGCTGGAGAATCTGGAGAAGCCGGGGGAGCAGAAGCACGGGAAACCCCTTCTCCTCGTAGGTATTGCCCGTACGTCGCCTGGAACTGACGTCGCCAAGTCTACTTCGATATATGTCCAACGGTGCCTACTCCTCCATCACTCTCATCATTCTCATCATTCACACAGAGACCGAGAGACAGAGAGAGAGAAACCGAGAGACACAATGAATGTGTGATCCAACCCAACCCAAACCCAAACCCAAGCCCCTTCCCTTCCTGATCCCCCTCCTCTCCTCCTCCTCCTCCTCCTCCATCACTCTCATCATTCTCATCATTCACACAGAGACCGAGAGACAGAGAGAGAGAAACCGAGAGACACAATGAATGTGTGATCCAACCCAAACCCAACCCAAACCCAAGCCCCTTCCCTTCCTGATCCCCCTCCTCTCCTCCTCCTCCTCCTCTCCATCACTCTCATCATTCTCATCATTCACACAGAGACCGAGAGACAGAGAGAGAGAAACCGAGAGACACAATGAATGTGTGATCCAAACCAAACCAAACCCAAACCCAAGCCCCTTCCCTTCCTGATCCCCCTCCTCTCCTCCTCCTCCTCCTCTGCCTCTGCCTCTGCTCCCTCCTCAGGATCCTTCTCTATTTTCTCAGAGCAAACCCTATCAATACAACACATAACGACGACGACGACGACGACGACGACGACGACGGAGAGAGAGAGCAAACGAGAGAGAGAGAGAGGGAGAGAGCAACTAACAATCTCGCTCGCTCGCTCTGCTTGCCGCTCTGCTCGCCGGCAACGCTCTACAAGAGCCGGCATACGCTTCCTTCCTTGAAAAGAAGAAGCAGAGGACCCTTCCTTCCTTCATTCATTCATTCATTCATTCAAAAGAAGAAGCACAAGCAAGCAACCTCCTCCGACGACGACGACGATGCAGCAGAACCCGACGCCTCCGCCTGGTGCGTCCGGACCTTCGAGTGGTTACCCCGGCACCACCACCGGCGGGTTTCGTTTTGGCGTCCAGCCACCGGTGGGTCATGGACAGCAGCAGCAGCAGCAGCAGAGAGAAGGAAGCGGCGGAGGGTTGCAGGCCTTGTCTCGTGGATCGTACATGACGACAATGCCTGTCGGCCATGCCCAAGATCCTTTCGTCGAAGTGCCTCCTCCTCAGCAGCAGCAGCAGCAGCAGCAGCAAATGGTGTTCGGCGGTAGCGAGGCTGACCCACCTCACCAGCAGACGGTGTTCGCGGCGGCGTCGTTGAGCACGTCGCCAACTTTGGGGACGACGACGACAACGACGCCATTCGATGCGTCGGACTTCCCGTCCCTGGACCGGGCTGCGGGGGGAGCGTCGGCCCCTCGCTCGGGCCCGGCGCCCGGCGCGGCAGCGGGGGGTGCCCTGGGAGGTCTCGGGCCCGGGGTGGCCGCGACGGGGGGTCTGGGGGGCATGGGACTCGGAGGAGCGGGCATGGGACTCGGGATGACCGACGCCTACAGCCTGCAGTTCGGGATGCTTCGACACAAGCACGGAGGGAACCAGAACGGAGAGTTCAGTATCCAGAACGAGGAGTTTCCTGCGCTCGGGGGGGGAGCCGCGGGTCAGCAGGCGAACAGCAGCGGCTCCAAGGCTTCGGGGGGCCTCGGGTCGCAGTTCCTGCAGCCTTATGGCCAGCTTGGGATGCCCCCCCCGCCTCCGCCCAAGGAGCAGCAGCAGCAGTCCCTGGACGAGTTGGTGCCTCCCCCTCCCACGGGCGACAAGCCGACGGAGAAGTTCGGCCTCCTGGGTCTCCTGGGCGTCATCCGAATGAGCGACGCCGACCTCACGACCCTGGCTCTCGGCACGGACCTCACGACCCTGGGCCTCAACCTGAACTCCCTGGGGAGCCTGTACAAGTCCTTCGCGTCTCCGTGGTCCGACGCCGCGGGCCTGATCCCCCAGCAGCAGCAGGGTAGTGGCGGTGGCGGTGGCGGGTTCCCCTCCACGGGGTCCTCCCCCGGTGACCAGGCCTCCTCTTCGGACAAGGAGCCCAACTTCAAGGTCCCCCAGTGCTACCTCCAGCAGGTTCCTCTGCTGCAGCCGAACAGCATTAAGAGCTTCCCCCTGGAGACTCTTTTCTACATGTTTTACTCCACCGGGGAGAGGGGGGAGGAGGGGAGCGTGGTGGTGCCGAACTCCAACGGCCAGGGGGGCGGGACGAACAACTTCAAGGCCCTCGCCGCGGAGGAGCTCTGGTCCAGGGGCTGGTGGTACCACATGGAGCACAAGCTCTGGCTGGCCAGGGTGCCGAACACGGATCCGGTTGTAAAAACAGATAGGTACGAGCGCGGGTCCTTCCTCGTCTTCGACAGCATGGCGTGGGACATCGTGAGGAAGGACAACTTCGTGCTGCAGTACAACTTGGCCAAGACTTCCTGATAATTGAGGAGGAGGAGGAGGAGGAGGAGGAGGATCGAACGTGGAATGCGATTCGGAGCCAGAGCCAGAGAAACGCCCACACGCGCCCACACCTCCTCCTCCTCGGATCCTCTTTTTGTGTAATCGTAACTAAATTGGTCTGGTCTGGTCTCAGAGAGAGAGAGAGAGAGAGAGAGAGAGAGAGAAATGAATGAAGATTCCCTCAATCATCCCCTCATCATTTTCCTTTCCTGCCACGATGACTCAAGGGAGACTCAAGGATGGTATTTGCGATTGCCATGCTTGTGGAAGGCAATGGTGGATCCATTATTACATTATTCTCCTCAACAGAAGCCATCGTTTACATCGTGTACACTCCGAAATGGCGGTCCTTCCTCCTCCTCCCTTCCGTGTGGTACACTACAACTACACTACACTACACTCATCAATGGCAAGGCCTCCAGCAGCTTCAATCCACACTTCTCGAAGTATACACTCTTCAAAGAATTAAGCATCTTGGAGGTCACCCCCACCAACCCACATTCTCCTCGAGTGATGAGAGAGAGAGAGAGAGAGAGATCCCAATCCATCCATAAACACCCTCCTATTTCCTTAAGGAACTCCCACCGTCCCTCCCTCCCTCCCTCCATCCCTCCCTCCATCCCTCCCTCCATCCATCCATCCATCCATCCATCCATCCATCCATCACTCCGCAGCCTTCTCGCTCGCTCTCCTCGCCCCCCGCCCTCGAAAAATTCCAAAAAAAATAGGGGAACCACCAACAAGAAGCGTTTTCTACACGAAGCCACCAAGTGGCGGCGCTCCTCGCCCCTCCTCTTTCGACAAGAGGCGTCACACAGATTCACCCCAAAACAACTGTTCTCTCTTCTTATCTCTCTCCTCACGTCGAACGTTTCCTGTCGAAACATCCGGACGACAGAGGCCCCAAGCAGCCAAGCCGGTTTTCATTCTGTTCCTCCGCCGTCGTCGCACGAGGCGCCCAGAGAACAAAACAAAACCAAGCGAGACGCAAGACAACTGCGCGCGAAGTACCTTCGCAATCGCGTTCACTTTCGTTCGTCCTACGCTCGACGAATTTGTAACGCTTGTCCGCGTTTTCTTTTCTTTTTTTTTCCTTTTCCTTTCCGCTTGA